CCCCCCACTAAGTACAAGTGCGCTGCCGGATAACGCAAAACCAACTCCCAACCACCCGAAAATGACCAACTTCAACCCCCGCCCAGAAACAAACAAGCTCAAAGCCTCTGGAGAATTGGCTACTCCGTGACTGTCCTGGAGGCCACCATACGAATAGAATTAAAGGAATTCCATACTTGTTATTTTTGTACTTGTACGAGAATTTCCAAAACAACACTACTCAAGCTAACCATATGGAGAAATACCTCGGCAGCACGATACCAAATAGAGCAACAGATTATCCGATACCAGCCGAACGAACCCAACCCAGGCCAAAAAGGGAAGTGAGCGTTGCTCGATAAGCGGACGATCATAGCAACACGAGCCTTGATCTGCAGTCTCCTGCGCGATACCATATCCAATCGCGCAGACAACGACACATTTTCAGGAACACAGCCCGCCAGATGGTGACCCACCAATCGGCCAACTGTTGGGGTGGGAGCACATGAGATCTCAGTTAAGCCAACCCCCCATCTTCATCCACAATCACTCGCGATGTAACATAGATTATTAACGATAGAAGCTAAACCACGCCGAGGTTCGGGTTTTAGAGCGACCGTAAATCCGCAGATGTCCCGAAATCAGCTCTCAAAAAAAAAACTCATCCAAAGCACGAGCATAATATACTATATATTCATCTCAGGCTTCTCGTCCAGAGTTCCTACGAGGACGGCGCTGTAGGCGCATGAACCGGGCAAGGTCTACCGCAGCGTAACTCGTCTCCCCCATATAAAAGCCCTAATCCTGGGGGGTATGATACCATACCTTGAGGGAAATAGCACTCTGCACCCCACTACTCCATGAGAATGTAAGGAAAAGAACCCACAGGCCTTTCGCCCGGGTACTATTGTAGCAGACTATTTTTGAACGATTTTCCTCACCGACTTTGCACATTTTGGCTGGGTATGATAGCGATACCTCAAGAACCTCGATTCCGGTGCGCGCTCTCTCTCTATCTTGTTACCAAAAGACCCGATTGACATCGCAGAGGAAGTCTGGTGACGAATCGGATGCCAAAGCATACCAAAATAGGGGGCCTCGAATCATTCATTATACATAGGTGCCCCGGAAGATAAAAATTCCTTCCCGGCATCTCTAATGTATAATACGAACCTACCTCAGGCTTTATCCCAAACCAGCGCGATCCTAGAACAAAAACCCATGGTTTCTTGCATTCTGCACTAGAAACGTACCTACAGTGCAACTCTAATGACCCAGAACCATCCAAGCCACTACACAGTTGGCCAAAGTGAACACTGTAGGTTTCACAGCTACTCACCCTCCCGGTAGAGCCCGCCATTGCGCAATCTCTGTCACCCTATGCGAGGGCTGATAGCCGGAGCATTGTTCCCGGGAAGGTCGGAAAGTGCCCCACCCATATAGTCTATGGAAAGACAAAAACCATATAATATTCAAGCCACCTTTCGCCCGCCACTAAGGGCGAAATATTTTTGTTTCTCTCTTCAAACCTATAGATAGGAATCATTTTTTTCATTTCCACCAGATCGGAATAGATTCCACATGATCTCAAAAGACCTGACAAATTATGATACTCTTATTATTATCTGTGTTCAAGGTGATCGGTAAGAGATCTCCGAACGTAACGTTGCTCATTTTCGCACACAATGTCAACCCATCATACCTGGGATCTTCTATCCTAATGCCGGGCATAGTAGTGGACACCGGAGATAGGAACTGTGCTAGCCAGGATTTCATCGCAACTTGTGATACCTTCCCCACAACACCACGAGATCACACAAAACACCAGTCTTGGCAGGGCACGATACCATGTGGGCGCGAATACGGTACTCCACGTCTCACTACCGCACTTTAAGACAACGGAAGCAAAACTTTTCGTCAGTGTGCTGTTACAGCAAACTACCTTCCAAATCTCTTTCCCGAACTTTTTCCGCCCCGTAACCACTGGGCAGATATGATAGCTCGAAAAGTCCCCTCATTTTCGTGCGCCCCAGCATCTATAGCTTTGTGATACTGCACAGTACTGTACCAACCGATTCAACAACTTATCGATTGACATACCGCCAACCCCTTCAGAAAACCACCAACCCAGTCACAAAAAGTTCGAGAGATGAGTTTTTTTTCTTTCTTTTCTTCTTGCACTCGGTACAGTAACGCATACCCGTATCCCGAAAGATCTAAGGGACCAAGCTCAGCAACGTAGAACAACTTAGTAATGAGGATACCAGTAGGTGCAGGTGCAACATACGCCCCACCCCCCACCATTTATCCATCCATCCCCGCATACCTACCAAGCCCTCCTTTAGCCTTGTAATACTCGAGTATCACACAAATACCGGCACGGCACCATCGCATCACACTCAAGTTTCAGCAAACAGCACAACCCCTCACTCGTTCCCACCGCCAACAACCTCCCGTCATATCACCCACCACCCCATCATAACACCGACAACAAGCGGAAACTAAACCGTCCCAAACCAGAAAGTGATCAGAAAAAAAAAAAATAGTCCGCTGACCGGTCACAAGTCACAATGCCAGGTCCGCAGGTCAGGTCAGGATCTGGCTGAGGTGGCTTGAGCTGTGCTCGGGATGGGGGGGGGTGGGACGAGTGCCTTGTCTACCTACTGTACACCGGTATTACCCACATCTTGTCAAGAAGGTATCACAACTACAGTATGATAGCACCTCGGCAAGAGCTCGCAGGTCAAGTCTTACAAGGGCTAAGGATACCTGACCAAGAAGAGACTGACACCGTCCTTTCATCGTTATTCCTGTCCTGTTTTGTACTAGACTTTATTCATAGGGAATCTTTTTCCTCTTTTTTCATCTCGAAAAGGGGATTAGATCCCTGCACGGAGATATCATAAGATACCTGTACTGGTACTGTATATTATACTGTTCGACTAGTTTGTTCCCGCCGCCCAGCTGAGGTCAGCGGTTGCATTAAGGAATCGGATTTGGAGAGGTATGGTAGGGTGGGGTAGGGTAGGGTATAGTTCCAAGGTGTTGGGCCTAAATTCTTTTCTTTTCTCTTGAGGTAGTACCCTATGATATGTGGGGTGTGCATGGGTGGGGTTACATATCTTCTTAAAGTTGATGAGAGCGGGGGAAGGGTGGGGAGGTATCATATATATAAAAGTAGTGGATGCTGAAGCGAGTGCTAAGCTGTGATAGTTGGAAGATATATAAATTTGTATCCATCCCGGACTATCGACTTGAATAGAAAGGAACTGCACACACACACACACACCTCTTCCTCCTCACCCTCCTCTCTCTCCCGGGATCATATTCTAAGCGTATGTACGTACCATATGCGGTGAGCATGAAATCTAATCCCTAACAGACTCGGTTATCGGAGTATGATACGATACAGTACCGATCCAGAAATCTTGCACGTCACTGAGACGTTGCGGCGGTCCTTGCCACGCTACCCGAGTACCGGTAGTAAGTTTAAGCAGGTAAGTAAGCAAGCACAATACACAACCGAAAAACAAAACAAAAAAAAAGGGGGTCGAAAATAAAGGGAGAAGAGTAAAAAAGAGTCGAACAAGAACAGAACAAGAAAGACATAGTCTAGCATCGATCCCAACGTCACGAAAAGGAAAAGGTGTGTACATCAAAAGCACGTATGACATAATAATAATAATAATACTCCACCCATAACCCACCACCACAGCGGGGAAGAAAAAAAGAAAAGAAAAAAAAACAAGCACCTCGAGTGATATACAATGACTCACGCAATTCCAACAAATACCGGTAAACAAACAAGCAAAAAAAAAAAAAAAAAACCCAGAACCTGAACAGATCTTCCCCGCCCCCAATGTATCGATTACCAGTAGAGTACATACCCGAGCACAGCACTCTAACAACCCCCCGCCCACACAACGCAATAACCACCGTAAGCTCGACCATCATTACCCTTAATGACCAACAATCACACAAAAAAAAAAATCTCCAAGGCAGGTAGTCAAGAAAGCAAAAATCAGCAGGTGTAGTACGGTACCACCCATCTATCCGAAAAGAAAAAAAGAAAAAAAAAGAAAGAAACGAGGCTTAGACAGTATTAGTACCAGTTCCAGTTCCAGCACTCGTACAACTAATTACTACCACTACTACCGGAGTGATTAATTGATTAATTAATTGACTGATTCATTGATAGATTACAGACACGAGCACGACATGTCCGCTACATATTAGGATACGTTATCGCACTTGTACGATATGATACCCGCCTTACCGCAGCGTACAGTACAGTACTGTACAGCACTGTGACCTACCGCGATCGAATTTCGATTCAGCTGAGGTCTGTCCTACAGGTACGGTACTGTACTCGAGTACAGCACCACCAACCAACCACCCTAACTAACTAACTGTCCGGGTTGAGAAGTTCCCCCGTATGGTGCTGCGTTGTACTCTACTTGCTTAAATTGTGATACGGTACTCATTTAATCTTCTTCCTTCCTTCTTTGCTTCTTTGCTTGCTTCCTTGCTTGCTTGATTACCCCTTTGCCGTGCCTTTGTGAGGGAAATATTACCGTCGTGCACAGCCCAGACACGTGCTGCACCGCCCCACTCGGGACTGCGCTGTGAACCGAAGGTAATTTGCACGAAAGCTCACTCGAGAATTGAATCTAATTCAACACCAGTGTGTAATATGATTGTTGTTGTCAGTTGCCGGGATCCTTCTCTTTCCTTTTTACTTCTGATGTTTTTTTTTGTTCTCCCGGGTTCGTCGTATACGTCACTCCTGGGTCACCGAGAAAGTATGGCTTGGGATGCGTATTATTACATGTTTTCTCGTTTGTCTGTTTATCTGCTCTACCTCGTACATTGATAGATGGTGATGATGATGATATGGTGATGAAGAAATGGGGGAGGGGGGGGAGGGGGAGAAGGGGAAATTCGGTCGTGTTAATGGGATAATTGAGAGGGGTGTGAATAAAAAACAGGGTCCCACGCTAGCCTTATGATATGATGTGCTATGATGATGTGAAGATGATGATGAGAAGAATCCTATGTGCATGAGAGGGGAAGGAAAGAAGGGTTCGGAAAATAAAGGAATAAAAAAGGGGAAGGAGGTATGATAGAATAATAAGAAAGGTGTATGATACTACACTTAGCACCTCGCTATGATGGAAAGAAGAAGAAAATAGAAAAACCCCGACAGAAAGAGGAGCGCCATGCAGTATCCAAAATAAATGAAGAATATGGGAAAAAACGAAAAGAAAAAAAAAAAGAACTCCTCTCCTATCTATGTATCCCAACCAGTCCGATCCCATCATAAATGACAGTTTCCGATAATTCAAAAAATTATAGGAAATACGCAAAAATAAAAATAAAAATAGACAGCACACATACGCTAACACAAAACAGATAAACAAATAAACAAACAAGCAATGCTCCTAACCACCAACCACCGGAGGGGGGGGCCAACAATGCATGCGTTCACATCCACGGACTCCGACCCACCCCATTCGATCCCCTTGCCAAAAACCCATTCGCCAGAGGCGGCCTCTCAGCCGGCGCATTGGCCTCGGGGAAGGTGGGCCTTCCACGGATGCGGTCGAAATTGAATAGAGTCTTCAGGCTACCTACTTGTTCCTCAAACTCCTTTGTCGGAAGTGAGCGCGGTCCCGTGTCCTCTCCCTCCATGAAGGGCGTTACCAGATCGATGGAGCGTGGGGAGCAAGAGTATGATTCCGGATTATGTAGTGGTGGCAGCGGCCGCGTGTGGTACTGCGACGTGCTCGCGGTGCGTATGGGTGGCCGCCGGGGTGGAGCGTGCATACTCGACGGGGAAGACGGAAGGGACGTCGGCGATGGGAGAGGAGCAGGCTCCGGCGGGGAGTAGGCCGGATGGAGCTGCGGGGATGGGGGGGTTGGCAGAGCGCGGGGCGCTGTAGGCATTGAGGGCTCAACGTAGTTTCTCGTCGGACCGGGGATGTGGCTGGGCGGCGGGGTATAATGGAATGGAGCACTGGAGAGAGTTGGTGATAGTGGTGGTGGTTTCGACTGGTCCTTTCGCCGACACTTCTCCGAGCAGTAGAGGATCTTCGTATTCGGCACCACGATCTGCTTCTCGCAATGTGCGCTTCAAACGACGAAGCATGTTAGCATCTCAATCGCAGCCAAAAGCAGAGCAAAGCTCACCAGAAAGGCAAAAAACTGGTCGCCATGCATGCATCTACGTCGGTAGCAACGTTGCTACCCGCCTTCAATCCCTTAACACGCGACCCCGTGGAAGCAGTCCTAGGCGCTGCTGGTGGTTTAATACCACGTCTCCTGTTGGTAGCCAGTTTGACGGTTTGATGGGAAAATAAATCCCCGACCTTTTATAATTTTTTTTTTACTACGTGCGTGGTGCTTTTCCTTGGTATGGAAAAGGCTGTCTCCGCCCGCGCCCGGAACAGCAGGGCTTGCAGGTGGCAGGACAAGGGGGAAGGAATCGAGAAGGATGAACGGGGATTGGGTTTCGTTAAATCGCGCGGGCTTGTTTTGGAAGCTTATCTTCCGCTATCAGTGCTCCGTGCGATGATGCGTCGCGTTGCTTGCTGCCCAGTCCAAAATGGGGAAGGTTGTTGGACGGAATTGCAGTTTTGAGGTCTCCAACTTATTTTTGTCCTGAGGCGGTGTCTCAAATAATTTTTTTCTCACTTCTGATCGAAAGATAGTAGATCGGTAGGGATAATCGTTGTGGGCTGATTGGGTCTAAGGGTTGGGCGTGGGAGAGAGGGATGGGGCAGATGGTAAGGGGGAGGAGGAGGAGGATTCGTCGATGGCTGCTCCGACAGATAGTTCGGGGGATTGGAATGATATATAGCTGGCCAGGCTGAACTGACTCGACCGACGAAGGGGAATGGATTGATGATGGTAGGAAGTGCTGTTGATCCAGGTGATGTAGGTGAGGTAGGAGTAGATAGATATGTGTAAAGTGCTGAAGGGGGGGCCCAGTATATAATTATTTTTTAGGACCTTTTCCCAAAGCAATTTATGTATGTAGGTGAGGTGGGTGAGGTAGGTAGGTATGGAGGTATTATAGGTATGTTACGGATGAAATGGTGAGAGTGAGGGCTGTCCAAGAAGAGGGGAAAGGGAGAGGGAGGGGGGGGGGTGGGTAATGGCCTGAGTGTGTGTGTGTGTATGGTATATGTATGTAGGTAGGTGGGAGGTGGCCTTATTTTTTTTTTCCCTTCCCACTTCCTATGCCTTTTCCTTTCACCTTCCTGCAGTGGTGAGGAAAGCAGGAGGTACTGTGGTCGATGTGATTTCGGCAGTCGAGTTTGGTAAGAAAAAAATAAGTCGGCGGGTGTGGGTGGTGAGAGGTAACAGCGAGTGGACTGGAGTGAGCCGCGGCCTAGCTTGCTTCCACCGTTACCGTTTTACCTCTCTTCTGGAAGCCTGATCCTTCCTTCGCTTCAACCGAAGAATGTCACGGTTAATTTCCATTTTCTCCTCTCTTCTCGGGATTATAAAACAGAATTGGCTCACTTTTCCTTGCTTTTTGTTATTCCCTCGCTCTTTCTCGCCTCTTCCCTTCCCTTCCTTTTTTCGAATATCGAAATTCCTCCGAAACCCTCTGCCCCAAGGTACAGGCAAGGATGGAGAGCAGGGGGTGGGGGGGGACGACAAGATCGGTTATCAAGAGTAGGGTAAGTACTGCACTCGTACTCGTGCCGCGAGAGGAGGAGAAAATTGTAGACTATGCAGCAGATCCAGCCAAAAAGCAGGAAAAATAAAACCAGCGAGTCCTTCTTGATGCGGGTCAATTATCCACACTCACACACTCACACTCACATTCATCCCCGTACCACAGCAATCCCTCGAGAGGAGCACGCAAAGCAACGTGCTCAATCGCTCAATCGCTCACTCACTCACACACCACAATTTGCCCACACCCCTCTTTTTTTTTCCCCGGTCGATGCAAGCGATGAGTGGGCTTAAGTCCACCACTTAACCCCGTACACCGTCCCAAGGGGGCGAATGAGAATTGGTGGAAGGGTATTATAAGATATATATCAAAAAAAAAAATTTAAAAATTAAAAATTAGGAGAGAAAAAAGCTGAGTGCTTCTCTCCCGTTCGCACGTCAGATGTGCGGGGGGCGTGTACGAGTAACGTTTGTCTGACCTGGAGAGAGGTGTGTGGGGAATCGCGGAGAAGGGGGGAGGGGGGAGGGGGAGGGGAGATTTTGATAAGAAGGAGTGTACAAAAGTTGGGAAAGGGCAATAATTCTCTCGATAGATGAATTGGAATGGAATAACTCTCTCCCCCGTGTCTCCTCTATACGTTATTTTCCCGGAAACTAAGCGGAGCGGTCGCAGAATGGAAACGTGGTGGTAGTGATTGATTGATTGATTGATTGATTGATTGGGGGGGGGGTCTGCAAAGGTCGAATCGAGCAAAGAAATTTCACTCTTTCCCTATCGCTTTTTTTTTTTCTTTTCTCCTTTCTTCCCCTCGATGAACGAATGCCCCTTCCCACGTTTTGTATCCGGTCGGTTCCCTCTTTCGCTGTGGTTAGCTATAGAGCAACAGTGCTGTAACTGATTCCCCTGGAAGCACGAGCAGAAGTAGAAGCAGAAGCAATGCACGATAATTCGGTAAGCACCGGGAAAAGGTGAAAAAAATGTGAGGATCGAAAGCGGCGAAACGAGTGACGTGCGAAACGAGTGGTGAAAAGGCGTGGAAGGGATTTTGTGCCAAAAGAGCTCAACCGATGATTAAAAAAGCAAGCAAATAACGAGGGATAGCTTTCCTTCTTTCTCCCTTTCTATTACGGTACCGGTACCGCCTTCAGAACGAAACGAGAGTCCGAATACCGCAGTGCTTATTTCACAACCCCGTAGGAAACGGCAGTTGAACCCGGAAAGAAGGGCGGGGGGAGAGATGGTATTTTTTTTTTCGGGGCAGAAACGAGAGTGGGAATAAGCCAGGTCTTTAAAAGCTTTGTGTTTCAATCAGGAACCTGGGAGGAGCACCCCAGAACTTCAAGGTACGCTCGTTGCGAACGCTACCAAAGCTAGTCTATTGCTACGGTACTACTGCCGTATCACTGGTAAAAGAATGGCTTTTTGTTGGTGCGAGGGCAACCCTTTCGAGAGGGGTGGGCTCTCGAGATCGATAAAAGATCTAGAAATCGCGGGATCAAACGATCGAGAGGGATGAGAAAAAAAAAACATCTCGTCGAGGGAATTAAGATGCACTGAACCCTTGATTCCCCCCTTCTAGACCACCACCGCCACCCTTTGTGCGATGAGTAGTGTGCCCTGTTTTGGTCGCCTTTTGACTGCCTTTTTGCTTGAGCGAGGTACAAATATTCGAATCACGACCTGTCATCGACGATTCAAATGAGCTGAACCCGCTCCCTCGCTTGTGGGACTGCAAAGTCCCCATGGATTTTGATGGATTTCCTTTCTGTCCGAGCGCTCGGATGGATCCTATTAATAGGAATTTCTGCTGTTGTGATCACCCTCCAGATCTCTCAGGGCGGCCGAAGAGCTCCCAGACCGGTCTCGAACCACGAGGCCTTTTGTCGAGAGGTTTTCCAAGCTTCATCTTAACTCGTGGGGAGGGTGTAAACGGAAGCACCGCTTCCACGAGGGTAGCAATAGTTTTTAGAAACGTCTTCGAGTTACCGAAGCTGGTAGTCGGAAGCGGTGCTCGTAGAGGTGTCCGGGTTTCAGGGGGACTCCCCCACTGGAGTTACACCCACCCGTACAAGTACAAGTGAGGCGCCATCTGATAGCTGTCTTGCACTGGATGCCGGAATTGTAGCTCGAACTGGTTTACCGGTACCGGTATGGTAGCCTCCTATACTCCCCCCACGCTCGTCGTTTCCATAGGATACGGTAGACGAGTGAGAGGGCACATGTCGGGGAGGGTCCCTACATCACTCAAACGGTCCCTCTCATTCCAGAATCTCAGAGTTACCCCTAGTAGATGCACATCCCATCACATACACATACACCCACACGGACCCCACCACTAACCAATCACCTACCGCCGCAACTGGCCAATCTTCCTCATCCCCGTTCCCGCCGAGACCAGCAATCTGTTTATGTCAACCTGCCTTCACCCGTTTTAGAAACGAAGAGCAACATATGAAGCGAAAACCGATAAGATAAGAAAAGAAAGAGGAAGAGGAGGACTATCATAAAGCAACATACCGTACCGTGACTCCTCCCCCGACAAATAACTTTACCCCGCAACCCCACCCCACGTTCGCAATCGGCCCGCTCTACCCTGCACAACATCCAATTTGCAAAAGGCGAAGCTGAACTCAACAAAATCAAAAAGTCAAGAAGTTCATGAAAAGTGATTTGAAAGCAAATCTGAGGAATCAGCAGCCTTGCTTTTTTCTCCTCCCGGCCTTCCTTTCTTTTTCCCTTTCCTTTCGCCACCGCCGGAGTAGGGGGGTATATGCGTCGGGAGGGCGGAGGAGTCAGGTTTGCAGGTTGGAAGAGGGAACAATAGTAGGGAGATGCACTAGCGGAGAGAGATGGAAGCGAGTCATTGTGCTTGCTTACCTGCCTGCGTCCCGTACTTGCTATCGCTGCTTTTTTAGGTTAGGGGTTTGTCTGATCATTCATCGCTCGGTATCCCATATCTACAATCACTCGTACTGTATCATAATCCCGGCGGCCGGCCTGGGAGGGAAAGAAACGGGGGGACTGGGAGCTTTGGCCACTTCCGGTCCCGGGACGGAGCCTTTTTTTTCTTCTGCTGGTACGGTAAAGTTTGCGTGGTGATTGGTTAGTTACCGTGGTTGGCCGGTGGATGGGTTAGCCTTATAATAGGCTGCACTGTGTATGGGGCGATCGCGAAATTTACACTTCCTTACCGGCATCTGTGGGCGTAGTGGATTGATTGCCGTACAATGCGATTAGACGAAAGGAGTGACTTGCTAGTACAGTCCAGCACTATTGGTAATATCTGGGCTGTGTGATAGGACACTCGAGCGGACACTCAAGCGGAGGGATTGATTGACTGATTAAGCCCAGGGGCCCAAGATATCCGTACGAGTAAATGTACCGTACTGTACGTGAGGATGGGATGGTGGGTTATGGGATAGATGGGTGGATGGATGTGAATGGTGGTCATAATACAGGTGCGGTACAGCGGTGGAGACCAGCATTATCACCTGTCTGCAATAGAGCCACCGTATTGTACCGTGCAAGCGGGCCAGCCAACGTTTCGAAACGGCCGTGGCGGGCAGCACACGGGCAGCACAGCCAGGATCAACAGGTGGAGAGCACAGGGAAGGACTAAACTCTCATGGCACGGCAGTAGCAGCAGCAGCAACGGAGGAATGCCAGCATCATATTCGGGATGTTGCGGGTATGAATCATTACCGGTAGCTGTAGCACAGCTTCCCAATCAACCCGCCTCAAAAATGTCATCTGCACAGGTGACTATCTGAATATCCCGACTCTTTCAAGCGCAGTGGAGCACTGTACGAGTACTGTGCACTACAGCGAACATCACCCCAATTGATGTAAACAAGCGGGCGAACAGGTATGATGGGTGGCTGGATAGATTGAAAACCACGGTACAGAATACCATCAAGATCTGGCGCAATTCCTTTTATGGTATCCCGGATGTATAGTATAGGTCCAAGGGGTAAATTGCGAACTGGCAGTGCGGAGCAGGTGTGGTTGATAGTTTTGGTCCACAGGAGTCGAATAGGGGGTTGACTTGATGGCGAATCTGTACCGGTATGTGGAGGGCCGGTTCCTTTCCCTTTCTCTACCTCACTCAGCCAATGACGGAGAGAGTAGGCACTTCTTCAGGCAAATAGCTATCTCGTTGTCTGATACTACCGTATTCGGTGTGGGGCATTTTTGTCCCGCTGCTGTGTCTATACAGCAGTACTCACGCGTCTTTGCTAGGGATTCCTCCACAAGCCGAATGTTTGGCGAGGACTGACGCAAATCTATCGGCTCGTGGAGGCACCCTTGGCAAAGACGCATGAGTAGGATACCGCTACGGTGAATTCATGATCTACCGCTGTATGATATGTATGTAGGGCAAATTATTCCATAGGTAGCCCTGCCTCGCCCACACAGCGTTAGCCCAAACCGAAATTCGTCCATCCCATCCAGTGCATCCAGCACAAGCCACCATCCGATTATAGTGATAAGCTAACGGAGGCAGAGGGCAGAACTCAGTACATCATACGGTGATAGTCGTGAAGGAAAAAAAGGAAAGGAGAAGGGAGAATGGAATATGGTAGAGGAGGGGAGAAAAAGAAAAGGGAGAAGAGGGAATGAGGGAATGAGGGGCTGGCATGTGCCAAAAAGCACTTCACCCTGCGCCCTAGCACTCATCATCATCACCGTCGTCATCCACCTCCTGGCACTCCTCGTGCTGCCAGAGCAGCGCAAGGTCGGCCAAGTCAGTGTCAAGCAAGCATGGTGGGTATCAGAAAGTAAGTTCTCGAGAGATGCAACCCCCACGAAGATAAGGCAGTACATTCCTAAACCGTGTAACACCGTGTAACCTCCCCCACCGTCTTTGGTGTTCTTCCCTTTCCACCGTGGATGGGCTGGCTCTCTGGCTGGCTGGTTGGCAATACGGTGCTCTATGATACCGCAGCGCCTGGGGAGCGCACCCGAAAAAAAAAAGAAAGAACAGAGTAAGGAAATAATAGAAGATGAAAGTACAGATAAAAAGAGCCAGTCCATAATAACTCGAGTCAAATTTTATGGATTAATATTGTACCGGTACTCAGCTACGGTATCATGCAGTGGGAGACGTGGGTTGTTGTGAAAGTGAAGTAGAAGATGTAATAACTTAGGTGGGCAGGGAGGCAGGTAGATAGATAGGTGGATAGATAGATAGACAGATAGACAAATGGATGGATGTATGGATAGATGAATAGATGGATGGATAGATAGACAGATACTGTAGATATGAAGGAATATGATACTTCTCTCTTCCCCCTTCCCCCTTCCCCTGCTCCGTAAATCATGAGGGCAGGTGTTACGGACGGGAACATCGAGCGGGAGGCATTCGGACCGTTGGCTAGCTGCTTACATACCTGCTCGCCTGATGCCTGTGGTAGTGGCCCGGCGGTAATGGTGTCTTGGGGGGGTTCTTACATCACATACCCGTACACCACGTATAACCATATAGCTGCCGTATCCCACAATACTCCTGCTTTTATGATATGTATCCGACTAGCGAATTGACTGGCTGGCGAACTGACCAACTAATCAAACGGGATAGATACCGTGGTTATCTATCTATCATCGTTCTCTAGCTAGCTAACGAACAAGCAGGCCAACTGCCGTAACTACCTGTGAGAGTACCCTTTACGTCCGGGAAGGGAATTGGGGCATTCGGGGGGATGGTGATGGATAGAGCTGACGGGGTGAGGGGGGGCGACAGCAAGCAAGCATCCCCTAACTACGCATCAAGTGAAATGAGGAAAGGACGGATGAAGTGAATGGATGGATGAATGAGCGAAAGAATGAGGTGAGCGAGAAGAAAAATTGAGGTATCATATTCCGTCGTTGAGCCGTTTGCTGCGATATCGCGCTGCTGATCAATCGCTATATTGCGCCTACCTGCCTACCTATCTACCGTACCTACCGTACCGCACTCCACCGCACTGGACAAACCTGTCTGCCCGCCCATCAATCTGTCTGTTCGTTGTGCCCCACAATTTTTATTTTATTTTTCCTTCCTAGGGAGTTGAACCGAGCGAATTATTGGTTGGAGGGAGGAGGGAGGGAGGAGAGAGGAGAGGAGAGGAGGGGGTTTGATAGATATTAAGGGGGGGGAGCTCACTCGAGGGTCGGAGTACGGTGCTCTGGTATGTGCGGTACGGTACTCAAGTCGTGAGTTTGATAGATAAGTAGATAGATACGGTAGGTGGTGGTGGTGGCGCGGTGGGTGGATTGGTAGATAGGGGATAGGAGATTGACTACGGTCGGTATGATACAGTGACGGTGCAGTGCATTGAGATAGCGTTCGCGAAAACGGGGGCTGAGTACGGTGGACCGCCAGTAATGCTGTTTTTTCGCTCACTCGTTCGCTGGTTAAGCAGGGAGCAGGAGAACATGAAGAGAATGTGATAGCCCTTGTGGTTCGCGCAGTTCGGTGATTGTCTGATCGACTCCAAGCAAGACTATTCGTGGTAGCTAGGCAGGTTCTCGGTAGTTCGCGGCGTGAAGTTAAACTACATTGCGCAATAGGAAAAAAAAAAAGATTAAGCTGGAGAAGAAAGGGAAGGGAAAGAACTGAAAGATGCACGAGGAAGGAAGTGCTAGAGAGGGAAGGGGGAGGAGGCGCTTGTGGGAGAAAAGTAAGATAAAGTCGACTTCACCGGTACTTTTGCAAAAATGAAGGGCCGAGAAGGGAGAAAAGCCTAACCCACCAATCAGATCCCCCTGATCTACACACCCACCACACAAAAAAAAGAGGAAGAAAAAAAAGATTCCCGTTCCCCTCCCTCCTCCCAATAGAATCGATCACTCCACCAACACGGGTCTATCTTCGTCCGATTTCAGGAATCCGTCCGGCACTCCCTTCGCGGCAAAATTGGGTGTACCAACATACGCTCCCAAAAGACAACTCCATTGGATTTCTCCCTGGAGTATTCTTTGAATCTCCCGATATGCATTGAGAGATGCATATGGCATCCCCGTTGCCGGATCACGAAACCTCGCCGGCTGATGCGTGATGACACAGAGCGGCTTATGAGTATCTGTTGTATTAAATATACCCTCCAAGGTACGTGGGGGAAAGAGGAGATTTGATTAGTAAATGGTGTCATAAAACGCGAGAACTCGAGAAATTCTCAATATATGGTAAGGGGTTCGAATCCCAGTTCCATCAAATAAGTAGACTAAGGCAGGGAAAGGTGAGCCCGCAGCTAGTGGTTTAGCTGCACGAGCAGGCCTGCGGTGCTCGTACAAAGGCGGTAACGCCAGCCCGAGGTATGCCCGGAGCGGACAAGAGGAGGTAAGGAGAAAGGAAAAAATAAAAATGAGTCAGGGGCCAAGCCAAACGCCAGGGCCAAGGGAGTGAGAAAAGGCTCAAAAGTCGAACACCTTATCGATCAACCCAGAAATTTCTTTCCATGTCAAGGCTTGGAATGGCACTCGGGCCGGATCGCGAGGTGCAAACCGGGGAACCGGCGAGGTGCATACAACAACTCCCGAAGGGATGAAGTAGAGGCCATGCAACAGATACTCTCTGATGGCCTAACCCCCAAAGCGACATACCGGGCATAGGGATGAGGAACAATTTCTTTAAAAACGGAACGATGGAGTGGAATAGGGTGAGGGATGAGATGAAATTGGTATGAGGGGCGGAAGAAAATTAACGATAGAAAAACGAATGAAAAGGGGAGAGAAAAGAAAAAAGAGAGAGGGAACAACTCACGCCAGGTTCTCTTTGGATCGCTTGGGAATAACACCTTGGCGAGTCCTTCTCGGGTCTGAACAGCCGCCGGGTCAAAATTTTCCAGCACTACGAGATTCCTACTCGAGTGCTCGGTCTTTGGTTTGGGCGCTTCTGATGTGACATGCGGGGATGTACAAGCTGATACTTCATCCCTCTGCATATCCGGTGGGTCTTTCTCGTGCCCCGGGGAGGGTTCCGGCAGAGCCGCATAGTCCAATATCCCTTCCAGGAGCATAGGGATTGGTCCGTGGTCGCTGTGTAGCACCTCCTGCGCGGAGGATGATGGTTGCGGATTCGCATTGGACGGGGTATTTGGCGATGCATTGATTATATTGTCCGAATCCAATATCGCACTTGCAGCTTCATCAGATTGAGTTAGGCTGCTCGGAGGCGGTTGTGGGGGCTCAACTTTCGAGTTAGGCTCATTTTCTCGTCGTCCATCGATTGTTTGATTCTGTTGGGCCAGCTGCTCTCCTCCATCCTTCTGGGTCGTCCCCTCCTTGCTGCCATCCCCATTGCCGTCGGCAATTGATTTTTCTTTACCTTTACCTTTGACCGCTGTTGCCTTCGCTCCCTTGCTCTTTTTTTTCCCTTTAGCCTTCTTCCCCTCTCCCCTCTCCCCATCCTCGCTGCTGTCAAGAACTTCCACCAATCCCTTCCCAATCCTCAAGAGTTTTCCTCCACTGTCCCACTCGGCAGTTCCACTCCACCATGTAATCACAGGCCCCACCAATTTTCGGTTTTGCAGGGCTGCGAGCTTTTTTCGTTGCTCCTCTAACCTGACCGCCTCGCTTTCCTCCCATTTGTTCAAACTTTTCAAATTCCGCTCCTCGGTGAGCTTTGCCTCCTTCAAACGCTCCGCCTGCGTCATTTCTTTGCGAGGGTTCTCTTTGTCTTTTTTCGCAGCTGCAGCCTCCATCAACTTGATTGTATGCAGCCGTCGCTTCTCGGACTCTTCCAGCCGCTTCATCGTTTCCGTCCTATTTTGTAGAGATAGGGTTCGGCTCGAGGCCCTTGTAGCTGTAAATTCAGGAATCCATGAAACCCTCTCCGACTTCTTTCTGGGCCTCGGTGGAGACCCCCGGGACGGCGACGTTACTGTGGTTTGCATGGCCGTAGCCGTGGTCGTGGTAGAGCTTCCGTCCTGAATTGTGACACGCTTTCTCGTCGACACCCTTGGCTTCAAGAATGCTTCCGCAGTCTTTCGTTTCTTCGCGGCTCGTTCCTCCTTTGCCTGTTGCTGTAGTTCCCTCTCGCCCTCGAGATCCTCCTCGCCTTGTCCACCCTCTTTTCCGTCGACGCCACCACCGTTGTACTCATCCTCGTCATCCGAGGACTCCAGGAGCACGTCCGAGAGCTCCTCTGCATCCCTGGCCTCGAACTCGACATCGTCCTCGTCTTCCAGGAAGAGGGTATCCTCGGCGTCTGCTTCTTGATGTAGCAGCGACGCAAGTCGGTTTCCCGCTGTCGAACGTCTCTCTCTGCCGGCGACAAGAGATTCCACGATGCTGCCTTTGTTGTCCATGTTGTTGTCAATCGCGTTGAAAGAAGGGTGGTGTTTGTTCGTCTAGATCGAAATCCGATGTGACGCGGCGCATCGCCGATCCGATCAGGATTACTTAAGCAGCACCTGATAACGTGATTTACCCCGATCTGAGATACAGCACCCAAGACATGCCCCCACCGGGGGAAGTTTTGGAAATAAGGCTGCAAACCGCATGATGCCCAATGCCGGCATCGCTACCGCCATCGTGGGATCCCCTGCTGTTGGTCGTCGGTGCCTGGTAGCACGATCCGGGCGTGTTTGGGATCATGTTGGGTCACTCGGGTATTACATGTTTGGGCCGGGCTTGAGTGCGGACTCGCCGTGACCAATGGCGGTAACTTGGGGATGGACGGGAAGTGCTGGTAGGGCTCTGGGACTGATCATGATTCGATATCGGGTGCTGGGACTGCTTCTCTCTTTTTTTCTTTTTTTCTTTTACCCTCTTAAAATTGTAATTATACTGTGGGTCCGGTGGTGGTGTCGTCTATGCACTACACGGCGAATGTGAATACTGTGCGGCCAACCTGTAAGATATGTGCCTTGCTGTATAGGAGCCTATCGTGAAAACCGCAGTTTCCCGAAACCTGCCCAACGACACTACATTACAATCACATGGTGTCGTTTCTACATTCAGAGTGAGAGGGTGAATTTTGAGTGCATGTATCAAACTCAGCTCGATACTGCTGGAGTTACCGGAGGTGGCCAGTGCGTCGCTGTGATCGTGGAGGGTTCGGGGATGTTTTGGACCGTTCTGCGGTTGTTGTAATTCACGGAGGAGGAGGTTCTCCGGACATGTCTTCTCCTTTGCTACCGCGGGGGCACACAGTACAGTGGAATGCGGACATGCCTGGCGGCATAGAAGTATACGTGGTGACCCACGGAGGGGCGAGCGCTTTTACTATATTTATACATTTCACTTCTGTCTTTACTGTTAGCTTGAAATGATGGGCAGGGTAGAGGAGTTTATGACCCTCCCGTTCCTATCTTTCCTACACTCTCTTCAAGTGCCAAGGGGGTCTGCTCGTTCTGCTGTTGCACAATTTGTAGATATTCTAAGGGGGATATATTGCATCACCGGCGCATTGGGGACATTTAACGAATTTCGGGGACGGTTAGAGCTTGTTATTTGGGTGCCTTTAGTAGGTCTAGAGAGAACTCGGACTGTATTTTGGACCTAATCTTGTGCTTAGACTCAGATAATTCCCAACCGAATCTTCCATGATACATTGAAGAAGATCCAGGTAGGGCATTGGAGTGCGCGGGGGCTCTAGATTGCTTGTTTGATGCAAATTTGAACAATAATCCGAGACCGGAATCGCCCTTGATCATTTGGTTTATTCTGATTCACTGGCTTGTTGTTATTTAGAACTCTTCATCGATCCTTCACCGGAATGCGTTTCGCGGAAGGGGGTCAGGGCTGGCCACGGGAGAGCCCTTCCTGCCCGTTTCTATGATAAGTTCATTCCTTCTCAACACTTTTGTCTTTCTCCTCCCCTTTTGAATGATAGATAGGCAACCCTATGCTTCTAACCAGGTCGTGTAACTTTTAGTAACTGAGCAGGGCTCTAGCCGGGAACACGATTTAGAATTCCATCACTCACCCTATTTCTTTTCGGTCTTGGACTCCCCTATGTTCGGCTTGGCCTATTTCCCCGACATGGGTATTCACTCGTTCCGTGATTGGGGCAGACTGGCATTCGTGTTCCGGGGTAAGTTTTCCCGGTATAATTAGTAGGACTAAAATTGATCATGAGGTTGTGAGGAGTCTGGTATCCTATGAACAGGTTGATATTCGTTAGGGAGATCGGAGTTATTTTTTAGTTTTTAATTTTGGACCCTTGGGATTACATGATTCAGCACGGATATCGGGATATCGATTATCTGTTGAAGCGACCCTCGCCCTACTCTCAAGAACACCTTGCGGTGTCAAACGCTCCCGTCTAGCAGCACTGGTTGGTGAAGTTGGACTTCACGGTCGGCTGGATAATCGACTTAAAATGGGGGACCTATGACCTGGCCCCTGCGTTGTTTATCAGGCGCTCGCTGCGGCTTCCGCGCCTATCACGCTTAGAGTCAATAACCCCAGGATCCAGATTAAGTTGCAATATTCATAGGACATCGCTCGAGTACCATAGCTAGATTATGTAGCAATACGATAAATTTTGGTATGATAGGATAAACGGCGGTGGATATTGACACTAGATGCTCAGGGTTTGGGGTAGTTGATTGTAGGAAGGTGGAGGGGGTTGGTTCGAAAAACCACCGAGTCCGCCTTTCGGAGGCGCTCATGCCACATTGGCCGCCCATTAGTGTTCCCGCACGGTTAGCGAAACGCTACTGTACTGTACAGCGTGATAAATGGCGCATAGCATGAATAACGGAAGCCGTAACGGGGAAAAGAAGGGGCGCTGGGAGTCACTGTATGATAGCATCCGCTAGCATTCAATAGGGCTCCGGTGGGGAGAGGAAGGAAGGATGTGAACGGAGGATTTTGGATTCTGAACGGGCCCTCAGACTGGCAGACTGCAACGCTTGGGAAACAGGGCACCGAAGTGGGATCCTAAATTATATTATGGTACCTCCCATATCCGGACCTTGAATGCCCTTGTATCTCGTTGTCTGTCGGGCCCTGAGCTCAAGAAATCTGGTTTAGAAGGTAACGAGATCTGGAAAGTTTCCTTAACTATCATAGAAACAGATTACTGGGGTTCAAACCGAAACCTATTCCACTGATCTCTTGGGCGCTCTGACGGATCGAGCGGTAGGGAATTCAGTGCTCACTAGATCTTCGGGGCACCCTAAATTAATCGCCGAGTGCAGTATGGTATCATGTGGGATTCTCAGTTGAAAAAATTTCGGGGTTGGGTTCTCCATTTTTATAATGAACCCCCACTGATAAAAGGTGTTTACGGCTAGGATATGATAGTAACGCTCTGGGAAAATTCTTCTAGCCATATTAAGCACGAGACGATTTGAAAAAAACCCTGTCTTTCTCAAGGATGGTATGCCGCGGGGTGGGAATGGGGTTTTAAGAGGACCTCGTCTCTGCTGTGGTTTCTATTAAACTGATACTAAGGCTTAAATTAAAGGCGCGACTAAAGGGATAAGTTAAGTAGGAATAAGGGAGAGTAAGCGCTCTGAGACTAGAGAGAGACTAGCCGAGCGCATGATACGATAAGAGCAGCCAACCCTGTGACCGATATACAGCACAACCTGGCAGAGGTCGGGTTAGAGATACCGGTGGAGGTTGGTGTGTCTAAGAGAGATACGAGGGCAACCTAACTAGCCAGAGGATGTAAAAACTATGTACTCGTATAGTGTTCGCAAAAGACTTAAATAAGTATAGAGAAGCGATTGACGGGGTCTGAAAAGATAGTCGCCGCGCAGATCCGACTTTTTCTGCTTATCCTGTAGACAGAACCCCAGGATAGAGAGTGAGGTATTTACATCTCCGGATGGCTAGTCGCTTTTAAAAAAGAGGCGTGTCCACGAGCTTTTGAGAGGGAAAACCATCCCTGGAAACTCACCACAGAAGACGAGGGCTCCGTCAAAAGTGCGAGAACACTAGCGAGGCTACGCTTGAGGCCTTGAGAGTCGGCTTTTCTTCCGGTACCGTAGGCGTTGGTTCACTGCGGAGTTTGCTCAAGTTGTGCTTTTTGCGTATTATGCTATGGGTTTTCCTTTCCCCCTTGCTTGCGTTCCACCCGTATTTCCAAGGCTAGGGCGCTTTTGGCGGGTAGTGGGGCTCCATTCCCAGCAAGCAGGGATGGGGCGGTGACCTTGTTAGACGGTCCAGACGCGTGCCCGGGTTTTTTGGAGGATGGAACGTATACTAGAGATCTCGAGGGAGTTGGAAGAAGTTTTTTCCATTCGCGGTTGGTCTTGGGCCTGCAGACCACTGGCAATTGCACCCATATCTAGGTGTAGTAATGTGGAGGTCTCGCATGATAGGAACCTTTCTTTTGTATTTCCCAGCAATTCAGTGTCCATTCCCCCTGTCCTTCTAAGCATGCTCCACTTTTGGCGGCCCAGGCCCCATCCTGAAGAACACGCGGTGTGAACAATAAGAGACATAGCCTATTTACCTACCCCTGCTCTCACAGGGTGCAAAAGAAGCCGAACTCCCTAGTAGTATGCCCAAGGCTGCCCAGCACTGGCAATGAAGTCATTGAAAGCGGTGGAAATAATAGATGGATGAAAAGGCTAAAGCCAAGTAAAGAAGGATCTGTGGGGAAGCAGGTATGCGAAAGTACGGGCCAACTAATGTCAGGACTTCGGGTACTGTGCAGAGCGCCAAGTGGTGTTTTCCTTTAGCCTAGGGGTGTTGCGTGGACTAACTCAGGTGGCCGCTGGAGTGGGAGTTCTGAGGATACTAGAGGGAACTTTTCATGCTACCCTTCAATACAATTACTGTATATAGGGTGATAGTTTTCCTGCTCATGTATCAAAAGAGTTGGCGAACCTTCCAGGGGGTTGGTGTATTCAGCATTATGGATTAGGGTGGGAGTTAAAGGGGGTGGATGGGCCTAGCGAAGAACTTTCTATTGGAAGAGATATCTACAGAGGAGTATTGGACAGGGAGAACGAATTTGGGAGAAAACTCTGATATGTATGATGCGGATCACCTTCAGCCGGAAGGTGGTTGTTACACACAAATTCAGTAGAGAACCATGTAGATATTTGCCTTGAATATGAAACCTCTGGATCTTTGCAGAAGGGATTCCGCGTAGCTCGAATGGAGCATCTTCTCTGAAGCTCTATTGATATATCGGTCTTTTCATGTTTGGGGACGAGACCTTTTCCCTCGAACATCTCCTTCATAGCTTCCACATGTTGATACCCCAAAACCCGTGGATGTTTCTTTTGGCCAACCTAATTTGTCGTATCGGGATTGACACCCTCCCCCTCTAGCAAGGCAGTGTTATATCATCCCAGGATAGCTTAGCTGGGCTAGTGACTCGGACAAAAATTTATAGAAAGTAGATTTGGCAATGTAGGATTAAGAGGGCGGGGATAATTGGATAAGAGGATAAAGGGACTGGTGAAGGAAGGTTAGGTGAAGCGTTGGGGCTGGCGCTGGTTACTAATATATCCCATGGCAAACCCGTCTTTATGTCTTGAAGAGCAAATGACTGTCGGCTCATATCATTGAAAACATTCCGTGAAAGCTGCTGAATACTGGTATTGTACCTTATAGTTATGTGTTACTCCTTAGTATCAGGTATCAGTCTGCCGTATGGTAACTTCAGTATTATTTGGAAATTACTAGGCAGGGACGGGGTCGCTGGGGTCCTGCATTAGGAGGATTCATCCTTTAGTACCGGGGTTATCGCGTGATCGGGGGCGATTATCACACTGTTGGCTCTGAGGAGTGGCTGGAGTCCTTGGAAATATTCAGACATCGTGATATCCGGAGGTCTTCTGTGTATTCTTATAATCTCATGTGCCCCCTGCTATTTATGTATCAATCAAGAGATTCTACCCCCACCCCGCTTGGTATCATAAGTCTAAAGGCATCTAGGAATACACTGAGAGGGGAGGTGCAAGGTGGACGAGCAAATTCCTGTAAGGGTTTCAAACTAACCCTTTCTCTCGTTCTCCTCACTGCATAAATATCAGCACACATCTTTTCTGGGAATTATCGAGAAATGCTTCGATAAAGGACGTGTAAACCCAATAAAGGAATTAGGGGACCAAATCAGTATTCAGCCGTTGTAGAGTCGTACTCCCTCTTAGACAGGGCATCCACTTTGTCGCGCATTCAGTGAACTTAAATATTTGACTTGTGCCCCTTCGAACGACTATGAATGGCCCTCCACCCAGCAGTATACCCCTAGCCTTCCACCCCTCTATACTCCCTACACGCCTCCACAACTTCAAATTCATAACCAACCACCTCTCCACATGTTAGCCAATGGTTCTTCGTATACCAGGAGCACAACTCGATTCTAGCTGTTCCCCAGACGACATACGCCGTGCACTCCTGCCCAACCCAGTTCCCCAGACTGACTTAAGTTCTTCTTCAGCATTAGGTGGCTAATAGAGGAGATAGCATCGACGTAGTGGGTCCAGTAGTTGAGCCTGTCACATTCGTATCCTGGTGGGGGTTTGAGTTCCGCGATTGAATTGTTGCGCTGGTCAGGGTATGAAGAGAGCGCGTGAGCAGGAGATTCTAGAACCACCTCTAATTAATGCCTTCTGTTATGATAGTAAGGATTGAGGGTGTGTGAGTGTGGGTTTTTAAAGGGCTTCTGGGGTGATAATATTATTAGAATCTATATTACAAGGCGGTCCTAAAAGCAGCCGGGACAGTTGGAACGGAAAAAACTTTAAAAGGGGTGAGGGCAGAGGCCCGGGGAATGGGGGCCGCTGATGTTGGAAGAGCAAAATATCATACCCTCTACGACTGGGGCAAGACAAGGTAGAATTTAAGAAAACAAAGAACAATTGTATAATTAGAAGATTCCCCCTCTGAGAATCATGAGACTATGTGGTATACACAGGTGAATACTTGTATCATGCTGTATGATATCATTCCTGCTCTTCGTCTCGACAGCGTTCTGGTGGGGCTGGAGGGGCTGGAGCGGTCTCTTTAGGAGCGGAGTCGTTGTTTCCGCAATGTGGGGTTTTGGGACCAGGCCTTACAGAGCGGGGTAACTTGGCCTGTGGGGACGGGGTTAGTTTAGAAAGACCTACTTTACAAGGGTATACACAAGCACGTCCCTGGTGGGGAATGAGCAACTTGGGGGGATGATCTCTAGGCATTATCTTCTACTCCGGATGGGTTTTAACGGTCCCGGGCTATGTTTCCTCCCTACAAGTGGTTTGTCTGACGACGAAAATGTTAAACGTGAGACCCTCAGATATTAGATTTGATATTTCATCTCTAGGGTAATGGGATAGTGAGCATACATATCTAGTTTTGGATATTTCCCTAGATATATCGGAAGGACCTTGGATTTTAGAGAGATGTGATCAATAATAATTGTGGGCTTTCGATTTAGAATGATTACCTTCATGTTCTCTCACTCGAGTCTTGCCAGTGGACTGGCAGAAACTGCATGCTTCCAAATTCCTTCCACAAAAGAAAGAGGAGTAGATATGGATACTCAAGCACTCGGCGGACAGACTGGAGGCAGTTATGATAGCACAACTTGGGTTCTTGGACTGTCTCCTACCCATCAGTTTTCCTTAAATAGGCGATCTAGGAAATTCGCACTGTGTTCCGTCCCTGACACAGCTATCAACATAAACACTCATGACATATACCTGATTCATATGCATCCATTTCCGCCAGTTTTTAGTGGCTTTTGTCTTCCAAGACAAGTATACAGCGATAGCGGTGGAGGAAGCGAAGTCGATAGAGACATTATTGGACTCAAGTGCAGGGCAATAGAGGGTTGGGCTTTTGCGACAAGGGCATCGGGCAGGCTTTGTCAGAGGTATAGAAAGTGCTCCGTTGGCTGAGGGCCAGGGATGTAGGACCAGAGTCGGCAAAGGGTTGCTTCCGGGGAAATTATTATATTAATATGGAGAAATTTCTGGAATAACCCAACCATCTAGGGATTATATAGCCCTGGTAACTGAGACGGCTGTCGGGTTGGTGACAGGCGTCCTGTGGCCGCCACCCCATGCAGAAGATGCCGTTTCATCAGTGGTGGTTTTGTTGATAGCATCGTTGAGTTCGCCTTCTGCGCTTGCAATAGGATTCGCGGTGGAGATGTCTGTGAGTTGGGCAGTGGGCGCATTGAGGATACCAATGTAGGTGCCCATGTTTCTTAGTGTCCCTGGGTACAGTTGCAGCGTAATCCCGCTTTGCCAGTGGATCTGAGCCTACGACGGTGCGGCTAGGGGGCATGGTCATGATAGACTTAGGAAGAACTACGGTGACCGATCAGACTTAAGAAAGTAAGTCTTGTGGATTATTCTGAGGAAGGAAATATGTAGATAGTGAGGGCTGAGCATACTACCAAGGCAACCAAAAGCCATAAGAATGATCTAGACATAGCCCCCGCATAGATATTTTTTTTCAGCCGAGTATGCATAGGTGATCGTTGCCACATAAAAAAAAACAATCTGCTCAACTGGTACTAAATCTTGCCTACGGGCCTAAAGTTACCAGCTGAGGCCAGAAGTGAAGCATAGAATAATACAACCTTATCGTTTTTTGCTACTTCGGAGAAAACACCCAGTTGCAGCATATTGAACAGGCCAACACCTGAAATCCCCCTGGATAACTAGTGCGCACCGAGGCCTTTGCTCTACCAGTAGTACCACTTCCGGGAATCTGCAGAGTCATTTGTATAGGTGTGTGTTATACGATCCTTATAATAGCAATAGCACAATCTCAGCCGAAACAAACGATCAGGATTCAGGGACGATTGGACAAGTTCACCGTGTACCTAATATTAGGGGCCTCGTATATGCAGGAGCTGCCGGAACCCGTGGTAAGCTGCTGTGACACGCCTGGATCTTGCTAAACGGTTCATTGAGCCCCCCGACATTGCCAAGTTCTCCGGCTTTCACATGTAATGATATTAAGGGAAGCGCTTCAACCTTCCTGCCACTGCGGATGCGGTAAATTCCAACTGCTTATTGGCACGTTGGGTACCAGGATATTATACCGAGATCGGCCATAGGGCATATTCATCTCAGCACTTGACAGGATCATTTATTGGGTCACCCACCTAAGTCTGGTAAGCCTCGATATTTTGCCATGAGACACAGATGAGTATCTGTATTGGCTTTCCATTCTTTGCCTTCCTACGAGATAAATTCGGCCAGCCTATGTTTAGGTAGGAAATCCGACAGCAGCTTTATTTTCGAAGAATTGGCTGAAAGATCTGAGTAAACGGGTGAGCCACACTTTATCAACAACTGAGGGCCTGAGAAGGAGTCCCCTTCGGCGGGCCCACTGCTTGGTACAACTACCTAAGGAGCAACAGATCCGTGGTCAGGATTAGTAATAACTTGTTACTCTGAAAAACTTGTCCAGCTTCCGTCCATCCCAATGCTTCATTCAGCTGTTATGAATCGTAGCTTAGCTGAACGACCTTATAACTTCCGTAGGATAGTGATACAGGCCGTGATTCTGTCTGACCAAATAGAGACTGAAATCGATCACAAGCCCATTTTGCATCCAAAGAACCACATCCCGCGGCCGACAGCCGTCAGTCTCGTGTCTTCGGAATATAAAGTCTTGGTATTTTCCAGACAATATCTCCAGGGTGTGTTTTATGCTCCCTATATATCTTGGTATACGGTGTTTAGAATTGCTAGGTGAGCCAGGGTAAATAAAGTACACACTAATCCTGGAAACAGACACTTCCCACCCTCCACTTGGTTACGTGAGGGATTAGTGAGGCATTTAGGGTGATACCCGGGAAGCGTCGTCGCTATTCGCATGCCAAGATACGATACTACGTTTTCTTCTAAAGTTAATTACCAAATGCCATTTCCATATCACCGAGAAACCTAATGACAGAGTCATCGTCAGGAAGGAACTACCCTTGAACAGAATTCTTCGATAAGAGTGGCTTAGAGAAGGAGTAGATTGCGAACAAAGCAGAGCACCAGCACGAGAACCAACAAGAGGTAATAGTGAGCGGGATCTAAGCACTGAGTTAATATGTCTCGCCATGCATTCGCAAGTTCTCAAAATACACAACTTACTGGTGTGCTAAGGTTAAGTGTGTTGTCTCGCTCTCTACCCTAGATTAACACCACGAAGTGAATGCTATTCTAGTAATTCATTCTGATACGATACCGCAAGGGCTGGAATGATGCGGAATGACACAAGGACGACCAGAATTCTCCCCTTGGATTAAGGGGAGAAGACTCAACGAATGGATTCTCTTCCAGTCCCGGGTTGGGGCATAAAGGGGGGGGGGGGGCACGGGAGGCCTTACTTGGAGAGCAGATCCAACGCCCTAGCGAGACTTTTAACTATTCTTGTTCATACGGTGGGTGAATGCGCGGTGTGAGAGCTCTTGGGAGTGATTCTACACTGCTCTCTCCTTTCGTGGATGCAAACGAATATAGTACATGCGGACGCTTCGGAAACGCCCGGCATAAGCCAGCGGGGGAGGATGCTTGCCTCTAGCGAACTCGAGTGATGGACAATTCACTCTATGTATGGTAGCACTGCACTCCCGCGGCCGGTAATAATAAACATTCTGATATTGTATACGGCCAACCAGGAAATAGCCAGGTGCGGGCGGTTACCTCGGGCTGATATCCTATTCTCGATAGAAAAGTTCTAACTAGAGCTTTACTTTCGGATCAATTTAAGGTAAGTGCATCCCCTGAACTCAAGAAGGGATTTTGTGGATACAAAACATTAATTTTACTTTATTAAACCCTTTGCACACCATCCTTGCCGAGATATAACCCCTTGCCCAGAAGACCTATGTATGGACTTATCACCTCCCCCACCTCTCGACGAACGCCCTCTTCTCTCCTCGCCCGCTCAAATCACCACTGCCTTTCCTCAACTCCTCCAAGCCCCCAGCAATCCCCTCCATCCTTCCAGCCACAGCACCAACTTTGCTCTCAACCTCCTCTAAGCCCCTGACTAACTCCTCGCCAATCAATCCCGCACCCGGGAAGTCATTACCAGACCTTAATGCCGCCTCCAGCAGCCGGCTTACATTCCACGCTTCTGCAAGCTCTGCTTCTCCAGTTGCAAGTTCCATCTCTTGTGCCTTGAGCTTGGAATTTTGTTGAACTATATGTTCTCTGATCTGCGATTCCTTAATCACTGGGACAGAAGGTGTTGGTGATGCAGATTTAATTGGTGATACAAAAAGAGGGGTGGTAGTTGGTGCGACAGAGATACCCAATAGTGCCAACATACGTAGTTCAGGATACTCGTCCTCGTCAAGTGAGAAATCAGTACTTCTACCACGCCTATGACGTGGAGGAGTGAAAACAGGCATCGTGCGGAAAGGAAGCCTTTTGCCTGGGCTTGAGTTAGGGCTCTTGGGAGCTGGGGGTGGTGTGCTTGGAGCGGTAACTTTAGGGGGTTTTGCAAGCGGGGAGACTGATTCTTCTTCAATTGTTGCTAAAACTGTAGAAATTGCTTTCTGCTTGGAAAGTTCTATTTTCAAACTCTGGGCGGTCGCCGTGTGGCGTTTTTGGAGATGGTGGAGGACATCGCAAATCTGAAATTATATCAGCAACACCCTATAGAGCTTCAAAAGGGGGGGCCGACATATGTTCCACCTAATCGCAGACCCGAGCTGGCTTTCATCCGGCCTTTGTGTACTTCATCCAGCACTGGTTGGAGGAATACTTGTTCGGCAGCCATTTCTGCAACTGACGGGATTTCGGCGTATAGGCTTTCAAGGTCTTTTTGCAGCTCTTCTGCTTCGGGGTCATTATTCTCCGAAATATGCGAGCCTGCTACCTCCAGGAAGATTCGGTCAAGCCGAGTTTTCAGGGCTGTGGCCGAAAGGGTCGATAGCCTGCGAAACGCATTAGTACTCTCCTCGCAAGAGGCCAGATCAAGAAGGGTTCTTGCTTTTTGACAAGCGCAGTCACTCTGCCAATAACCTCCTTCCCGTCATCGCCGCCGTCGCCAACAATCACGCCGCCTGCAAGTCTTTCCAGCCGGGCAAGCACCCTGTCGTCACTCTCCAACATCTTATTTACACCTTCAACATCAACGGCGGACTCTTTCGTATATTGCTTCAAGTCGACAATCTCCTCTTTTAGGATACTTAATAAATCATCGATCTATCATCGTTAGAATAAATTTCGCCATGCGTGTGTCTAATCGGGCGGCAACATACAGCAGCCTGGAGATCCTCCTTCTGAGACAGCCACTTCCTTCTCCTCCGCTCGCTTAGCTTTCGCTTACGTTCCTTATCTGCCCTCGTCCTATCCTTCATAGATTTCAAGGCTGCCTTCTGTCTCCTCAGTTGGGCCGTATGCTGCTTCAGCAACTCAGCACTCTTCCGTAGTCCTTCAATCTCAATCGCCAAGTCCTCCTCCGACCGCGGTCTGACAAATGCCAACTCAGGGTGTGCCTTCTGCAGCTTTGACAGCGTGCCCGTCTTCTTGAGGTGATTGTATCTATAAATGTTAATCATTGAGCGGTACCCCACGCCAACAACCGGAGGACCTACATCTCAAGCTCCTCTCGCGAGACTAGCGCCTCGTCCGTGATGTACCGTTCAACCCATTGCGTTACCGGGGCAGCAGTTTTGGCATTATCGAACACCCAAAGGACATCCTCTTCCCCGAGTGGGATTTCGTGTGCCGATAAAGCTTGCAGGAGCTTTTGCGAGGCTTCTGTCGGGTCCATTGTAGGGGGCAAAGTGCGTCGAACAGTGTAAACAAATGTCGTCGGGTCAAGCCATTGCCAAGACTTGGCTTATCATGGCTCGGTCCAAGGCTAGGGCTCTTGATTGGTAGCCCACCGGTATCGCAGTTCCAGACGCCGAGTTGCAACCACGAACCCCATGGTCACCTGTATCCGAAGACCGAAGCGAATAGATCATAACAACGTACGACGAGTTCTACAGTTCAATGGTCTGGAACTCTTGGGAATGGGATATCTGCTATTTCACTTGTACGTGCCCTACTCGCATCTATTTGTACCCTTTCAATCATAGCGTTTACGATTCCAGTTCACAAATCACATGCTAAGTACCGTAATTTCTAAAATGCCGGTACTGTCCGATCTCCATAGGGGCGTCCGATCGTTTCCCGGATATATGTCCCAATAGGAGTCTTTCTCATGCAATATTTCCGGCCAGTTCTGCCCGCATGGTCCTTATATGTCCCACCCCAGTACGCTACGAAGTTTGCTTCAGAGATATGAAGCCCCGCAAATCACTCGATGCCGTTAACATTCCGGTAGAGCTCTTTAAATCACGAAGCCATAGCCCAAGTCGCTGAGAACAGGAATCAGGCGGGATTTACCCTGAGATGCCGGTACATCAATGCTTTCCTCATCCCCCAGCTCTACCATGTTCCCCTTAGGGCCCCTATAGGTGGGGTCGATATTGGCAAGGCCACCGCCGTATTCCGTCAGTCACTAGTTCTCACGACGCTGGCACGCCCGCTTTCCTCTTGGGTTGGGCCAAGTTACCATATTGAAGGTTAGGTCATAGCTGCTGGCTCCCTCCTAGGATCCATCACCATATCCTACCTGGTCCATGTTCCAGAGATCCTGTCCAAGCGCCCAACAAAATATAACAAGGTTGAACCTATACAGGTCCTTCGTGAATACCTCTGAACGCCCTTTGGAGTCCTCCCCAGCCAAAGCGGCCTGAGATTCCTGTTGCGGTCATCACTGCATGCATGATACACCCGGAATTTATGGCACAGATCCGGAGGTTTCCCTTTTTCAAACATCCTCGATTCCTTTGCTGCAGTAAAATAACACCGCGCTATCCCGCCCATAGGTGCGGACAGCGTGCCGATCACTACATCTTGATATTGTGACATACGCCCTTCCATTACATGTCACCATCAACGTTTTATCGTCTCCTCCTGCGCCAATTCTGTCAACGAATATCACCTAAATCCTACACCCTACACCTGATTGTTTTCTTTCAACCCCCCGGCCCCTACAGTACACACCACCCCCCTAATACCGGGGCAAAGCCTATTTGACACATCAGACGCTTATTCGACCGGAACCCGGTATCTATCCTTATTCAGAGACAGGCTAAACGCATCCTACTTCTAGGTTCTTGGGACATATCCACTTCTATACTTGATTTTCATTGTTTCATTAGCCCCTCCCGTGATCCTCAACTTGACTAACCACAAAGACATTTCGAAATTGTCCCTGCGGTCGGCAGTGCACTCGCACACCCGAGAGCCTATCACGCCACGGACACAGGAGAACAGAGATCTTTATCCTTCGCTGCCGAAAGCCTAGCTTAAGCACCTACTACGTCACCCACCGGCATTCGTAGCCTAGGCTTCGCCTCCCGTCCCTCATTTCTCCATTCCTCTCCCCACAACCTCAGTCATACTAATTCCCCCCACTCTACCAGGTGGTGACATGAACCTAGTTGCGGTCCTCTCCATAACCTCTGTTATCCCTGGTGCCCTTACCGGCCATCCAGCTGTGGACAAAACTGGGGGCTTCCCTCAGAATTTTAGGCAGGGCAATTACTGATTAATTTAATGTAGTGCGGGTAACTGTTGGTGGATTAAGGTGGTGACTGTGAGTGCCTAGGCCTATTGGTATGGTGGGGACTTAGATTTATGATTCAGATACCATGCCATTATTTTCACCTCATCATCGGCGGTGGCACCCCCGCGTAGGTAGGGCGATTGGAACTATTGGAACTATTCCTATAGAGCTAGATAGCCGGTGAATTCGTTGCGATGCCACCACCCATCGCACTAGCATCACCGCATAAAGCTAACTATAAAACTCACCCTAACAACAAAATAGCGGTTCCACCACGCAATTTCTACACCACAGTCCTGATATTTGACTAAAAAAATAACCTCTTTTAATGGCAAGATGGCCGAGTTGGTTATGGCGCCAGGTTAAGGTTATCTTAACATGCATCCTGGTTCGGGAAACCGAGCGTGGGTTCAAGTCCCACTCTTGTCACTTCTTTTTTCCTCTTCCCCGACCGCCCGCATATGTTGGGATCACCGCGTGTGGAAACAACGTCTCTCTTGCGCCTTTGTAGAGGCATAAAAATCCAATACTAGTAGTTGATATGATCGTGTAGATTTCGAGCCCGTCGGTCTGTATATTAGCTCGATCATGCCCACCAGGAACACCGTCAGATTTACCCATCTAGGACTTAGCGAGAAAGTACTATCACCTACTGACTCGCATGGCACCCGTGTATCAATCAAGGCATTTCGCAGAATTTTAAGATCTGGGCACTAAAGGTACAATAGCACGTTTATCGTCTGAATGGCAACATGTGAACAGTCCAAGGAAACCTCTTAATCAAATTGGGCATTACCCAAATGGTGACAGAAGACCAGCATCTAACCCCTTCACTGTAGAGAAGATACTATCACCCGTTACCATCTAATATTAGGCGAGATTCGCACCCCCTTACCCCCCAACGTCCAAGCTTTAGCAGTCCCAGGGTGCCTCGGCCAATCTCACCCTCATGCCCAATCACTCGTTCCAAATCCAAACAGACCGTCGAAATTGTTACTTCAATGTGATAAAAGTACAGGCATGTCCGGACATCTACTACCCAATGTGGGGATATGGATGATAATGCGGGTCATCTCGGTGTATATATATCAGACCGCTGGTACAAATAGGGGTGGACTTGGGCACACGTACCGGGAGTAGACAACATAACGCCCCCCCACAAAATTGATCTTTCAACCACCGAGTTCGTCATATCTCAAGCTATATATATATATCCCTTCCCTCAATACCGACTCTTTCTATACGACCTCTAGCACAGGCAGGGATACTATCAACCTATTTAGTGCTTGACTCTCTCTCTCCCTTTGTACCCCCTTCCCAAAGCAGTCCGACCTTTTTGGAAATAATAGGGTTTATTGCTACAACCCCAGAACTACAGCTCAAGCATTGATTCATCCTCGAAGGGACTGTAGTTAACCCCTGGAGATACAGTACTACTACTTGAGATTTCAGCGACTGGGGAAATAAGTCGAAAGTATGATGTTTCAAGTTTTTTTTTTTTGGTGGATATAGTCCAGTGGCTAAATTATTTATGATGGCCTGGAGATTCGTTAACATGGCCCCCCTCTCCCTCTCTCTCTCACCACACCCACCATGATCCGTTCCTTTCAGGCCAGTGCTCCGATACGGCCTTTCCCGGAGTGTCGATAATTTCATCTACCGATCAGGCTACCCCCTGCGGCTATCCTGCCCTACCGTAAGGCTGGAGTGGATCCAACCCGGTAATTGGCTCCTGGACAGTCCTATACTGTAGTGTGCTATACTGTAGTATCCCGCTAATCTTGAGATCTACCACCGTGTCCAGGAATCCCAGCGGCGGTTCTGTGTCCTCAACCCTAAATAGGTACCCGTGCCCCAGTGGTGGGTGGTTTATTTTTGGGTTTGGATCCTGCGGGGAGGGTGAGGGTCAAGTTCCAGCAAGCTCTGGGTAATTGCTGGCCGGTGGTGAACTTCCTTGGGGTTCCTATACGGGCTTCGCTAGCTAAACTTTTTGGTGAAGGTTGAGCGGGAGAGTGGGGAAGCGGTCTCCAAGCTGGCTTGTGCACTTCTTGTTTCCGTTTGGGACCCGTGGAGGATTAGCTGGCTGGAGCATTGTTTCATCTTAATCGGGGAAGCGGGGGAAGCGGGGTTTGTTGCAGAAGACTGTGCAATTTTGGGCTAGGAGTGGCTTGTCTGCGGTATGATATAAAGAGGGGTTTGTCCAGGGGGGTGGGGTTGTTTGGTGAGTGCCTGACTACTGTTACTCAAAGTATGTGTTTTGGTATACTATCTTGTACTGGTGGATGCCTCCAAAATGGGCATGTAAAAAAATAAAGGATAAAAAACACTGGATAAGATATAGGGCACTACAACCAAAAATACAATGTCGTGAATAAAAAATTGGGGGTTACAGCTATATCTATAGATATCATAGATCAGCAGATAGTATTATGGAAGTAGAAGTTTAGACTTGGTATTTAAGTTTGAGCTGTCACCACTCTAGTAGAACCATTGCATCGATAGACAACTTCAACGCGTCAAATCTCTACCACCGCTTTGCCAGTCCTTCTTTCACAAGCTTGCGGATCGGGTGGCGGGCAACACCACCAAGAGCAACATCTTTCTCAAACGCGCACATCCCACCCACCCCCGTACTCTCTGCTATTAGGGCATTAGAAAAGCAACGAGGGTCCGACAAATGGAGTAGTTTGTTTCGAGCTCCCTTGAAGTCTCACGTCTTATGCTCAGTCCAGTGCCGTACTGCCTTCCGAAAAACCCGCATGTTATGTCAATCTCATCTAATAAGGTGGCAGTCCTATGCTCACAGTACAACATTACGCCTCTTTTACTGCTTGCTGGGAGTGGACTCCCCCCCACCGCGCACCAAAAACCCTGAAACACTAGAAAGCAAACAGAGAGAGAAGGAGAATCCACACGTGGGGCACCCAAATGAGCAAAAACATTACAAGTATGATACATTGAGAAAAACACTACAAGGAGCAAACGCCTATGGGAGCAAATGCCGACGCTCGAGGTCCCGAGTGGGTGGCTTGCCAGTCTCAGCATTCCAGCAGGTCTTAACCAAAGATTAGTCAGCTCAGGTTACCTGTTATCAGATTATATTAAAGCACTATTTATCTAATCGGATAACGATGTCGCCACTTGATATCATCCATCGCGCCAAGACAATACTTGTGTAGCCGCGTTCGTATTTTTTGGCAGGCAACCACTTTTGGGAGTTGCACAAGGTGGCCATCGAGCTGATTTCGACCTTTTTAACTGTTCGGCATATCTTCACTCCCCCGAACAAAATCCCTTCGTCTTGGAGCCCCTTTCCACATACTCACATAGTATTTCGAAACCCCCTTTCCCTCTTCCCCCCCCTTTCACACTCCTCGATAGATGGCCAGTAGCTCTACCCGACATGCTCCAGGATTCTATCCGACGCCGTCGAAAAGCACCATTGCACCGCCGGCGGTGGCTACAGATACGGTGGAGCTTAAGGATATGATAGCAAGCTCTCCGCCGCCTGAGTTGGAGCTCAAGGATGATATTGTCAAGTTGAGTGTCAACGGTGACGAGGCCGGCGTCAGTGCGTTACTCGATAGTGGGAAAGTTAGTGCGGACTGGTTGGACGAGGATGGCGTCGGGCCGTTACATGTACTTTAACCCCTCATCCCCCCTTTTTCGGCTTATCTAATCTTCCCAAACTTGTGCCGTTCATTTGAGAGACTAACTGAGATAGTGGGCAGCGATCAACAATCGGTATGCAATTTGCAAGCTCTTATTAGAGCGAGGGGCAGCCGTGAATGCCGCTGGAGGCGAATCTAATGCTACCCCTATAATGTGGGCTGCGCAGCGCGGACACTACTACCTCGTTAACCTCCTACTAAAGCACGGCGCCGATCCTTGCATGAAGGATATTCATGGATACAATGCACTTCACTTGACTACGTTTGAGGGAAATATGTTCCTGTTGGTGTTGTTATTGCATCATGGGATTCCTGTGGACATCCCAGACTCAAACCAACACACTTCGTTAATGTGGGCAGCTTATAAAGGATATTCAAATGCTGTGGACCTCTTTCTGCGCTGGGGGGCAGATGTTCGTGCTGTTGATGATATGGGTTTCACTGCATTGCACTGGGCGTTGGTACGAGGAAACTTTGGCTGTGTGCAGAAGCTCGTTGAGTACGGAGCAGACAGATATGCAAAAACCAACGACGGAAAGAGCCCGGCAACAGTAGCGGAGGAGCTCAAGACACAGAGAGTTTGGTGGGATGCTTTAGACGATTGCGGCTATGACAGAGATGGGAATCCACTGCATCCTAACGGGACGATCTTAGGGATACGGGTAACGGACAAAACCACTGTGCTCAACAGATTCTTTCTATGTTGGCCGACCTTAATAATATGGGTCATGGTGATGTGTTTAATCTACCTGCCCTGGATTCCCGGTATCCTTTCGGCGATCTTCTCCGGATTAGGCTTACACTGGATTGCCACCAGAGCGAGCGATTATGCGGAGGGTGATCAGAAAGCGGTCAACAACACACCCTATCTAGCAGGGATATTTGTGGGGACTATATTCTGGACCGCGGAGCGATGGTTGTTCAACATTCTGCCTAGTAAATTGCCCCCTCTCATCCCATTCGTACCCAACCCCGGCCCAGCAGTCAACGGCGGATGGCAAGTGCTCACATTTTGTGTTCAAAAGATACTTTTAGTTCGGCTCCCTTCAGCAATATTCTTTTTGCAGTAACGTTTTCATCTTGCATCTACTTTTACATTATATGCATGATTTACCACCCAGGCTATATACCCAAGCTTTCCAGTGTAACAGAGCAGAAAGCGGTGATAGAAGAGCTCCTGAGTTTGTGGAAATTCGATAACAACAATTTCTGCGTCGAATGTATGGTTCGTATGCCACTGCGGAGCAAGCACTGCCGCAAATGCCGGAGGTGTGTTGCCAAGCATGATCAGTGAGTCCTTTATCTTTTCCTACATTTCTTCTGACAACGCGTTCCTAACTCCACTTAGCCATTGCCCCTGGGTCTTCAACTGTATCGGCGTCAGAAATCATAGGCAGTTCTTCCTTTATGTGCTTAGTCTTGAGATGGGCATCTTTATGCTCGTCCGTCTGGTTATCATCCACTACACAGTTCTAGACCTCGTCCCGAAAGCGGAATGCAGCATCTTAGCGGAGCCATTCTGCTCAGCCGTGCTTCAGGACCCCTTCACAGCATACATATTCGTTTGGGGAGCGCTCCAAGCTTCATGGGTGACCATGCTCCTTTTAGTACAACTAGTCCAGATAGCCCGTGCACAGACAACCTGGGAATCCATGACCTCCGGGCGCCGCCATCATGGCCATGACAACAAAATCACTTCTGCTGTAGCATCCACCATCGCTGCCGGCGCAACAACAATGGAAGGCGCCCAACTACTCCCCACGCCCCGAGGCCCCGACCCCTCGGCCGAAGCTAGCAGAGGACACCACCATCCAGGCTACCACCATCGCCGTGGCGCCAACGGCACCTGTTTCTCCCGGGCGAAGAAACTCCTCGGTGTAGATGTTCTCGTCCATACCGCCCAGGACGCCAGTAACCCCGCCCGCCGCCGTCGCGGTAACCCATTCTCCAGGGGAATCCTCACAAATTGCAAAGACTTCTGGTGCGACCCCGCACCCGTATTCAAAGAAAACGTTATCAATGACGGAGAAGCACTCCTCGGCGGTGCCCGGGTTGACTACTACAGGATGTATGAGTCTCCTCCCCGAGTGCGCGCTGGTAGGAGTGACACTGCGAGATACCAGCAGATTGCAGAAGAGGAAGAGAATATTTAGATTCCGGGTCGTTTCGTGTTTTTTTTGCTTCAATTTAGCTCGATTTGTTTTCCTTTTTATCTTTCCTGCTCGGGCTGGCTGGTCGGATTGGGCTCACTGGAGCGAGAAAAAGCAATATGATGGCTCATGATATCTGATATATGTATTGTTTAGCTACAGATCGTAGGATGTAATATTTACTTGTATATTGCTTTATCACTATCTATAGCTAGTTTATCGCGTGACTTGGCTCCCTAGGAAGTCACCCCTGGGAATTCTGCTCGGCGGATATCTACAGCCTGAAGAGTTTCCTATTTCTCTCTCCTTGTTTAAGGCTTGCCCTTGACGAAGGTAGAGTCTGTTCCCCACATGCTGAGTGGCAAGACTTGCTCAGCAGCCAAAGGTTCTCGCGTTTACAACAGAGTTTTGTGACTGCCACCTAGCATATCACGGCCTTAGAGTGTCACAGTGGCTCAGTAGGTCCTTTCTTCGAAACCATAGAGGTCAGGTGCTAGAGAATGCTCTACCGCAGTTCCTTGGTTCGTCGACGGGACCGCACGGGGTCGTGTTTATACACCGAATCCTGCCTGTCATGGGTGTTATGAAAAAGCCTAGCGTTTCGCCCCCTCTAAACCTCTCACAAGTTTTTCTTTAGTCCTCCCCTTTCTCTGCTTTCATGAAGGATTTCCTGGATTTGCTTACTTCTTTGAAATCTACTGGTATTGAAGTACATGAAGTGCGTCATGCACAATCACTCGCGGATTATGTGAATTGATATGACTGCGGACGAGAAAAGAAGCTTGATTTTCTTATCACCTGCGCAGCAGTGGGCTTTTATGGTAACTAACTATCAAGTGAAAGAAAAGAAATAACAAAAGCCCGAGGTCGGTAACATGAGGACCTCGGAGGAAAGAATTTGACGAAACCTCGGTGAGGAAGAAAAACATATGAGAACCTCGGAATACCATAGTTGAATATGGCATGGTTGTGCGGTTGTGAAACAAATAGGGAAGAAATGAGGAAAAACTCAAACAGTAACTAACATTGAAGAGAGTGGTGAGGAAAGTACTAGGACACACTAACTAGAAGGAAACTAGTCTTTTTGACGGTTAAGCACTACCTGTACCTGGTAAACCCAACAGATTATGTCAGGCTGGAATTTTGATGATGGTTGTGAGATGAAGAAAGTACCGTAAATTTATCCCTAGTCCGACCCGCAGAGTATGTGAAGGACCTCCCTAGCCAGAACAGGCGGGGGCCCTGGCTCAGTAACTAATATGTGAATTTTCCAAGCGTGGCCTCATATCGGGTTACTGCCTCGTAAATATATACTTTTACTATCCACTGTTCTTAAGGAAACTAATAGTAATTATCATGTCCCTGGAATCCCCTTTATTCCACCAAAAGCTTGACCTCTGTCTCGACTCCAGTATCACTGCGAGACCTGTGATATTCCTATCTGGATGGGTAAAAAAAAAATCACCCATCCCGTCAATTGATAGAGCTATAATCATAATCCTCGTCGGAATAACGGTTGAAAAATCCTTTGGGGGTTGAAGTTGAGCAATACATTCTTAGTGCCATAAAGTACTCCAGCTACAGACCCCTTTCCTGTGGGTGTGGGCTATGATAGCGATTATTTGTCCGGGGACTTTCCTTGCTCGTATCCGGATTGATAGTCTTGTGCCAAGACGCAAGTCTTTCCGATGAGGCCCGGTACCGTATGATAATAGCTTTGTTGTGGAACCCGACTGCCGAGTTTGCCCTTTTTCCGTTAGGTGAAACATACCGGTTATTGAAACCCCGCACTAGATTTTTTTTATGACTGCAGTCGGAAACTTCTGCCTAGCGTAAAAGCGCCCACCCGCCCCCTTATAAACCACCCATTCGCCCTCAGCCCCTCGTTTACCACCTTTCCCTCCTCCTATCCCGGAGGGGAATCTCAATAGGTTGTCACCGTTCGGGTGACTACCATGGCGCAGGCATCAACGCTGCTGCAACTGCCGCTACACACCAGAATCTGGGACCGCCTGTCTACTCCCTCTAAGGCTGCGGAGGGGGTATGGTTTTATGAGAAAACCAGCTCCAAGCACCCCCATCTCCTAAGCGTGGAGGTACAAGAGGAACGGTCGATCCCTCGGTAGGCAACCCCTCTCATTGTGGGAACTGGTGATAAGAAAAGAACTCATTGGATTAATTTATCCCTTTTTCTGGTGTGATTTGAGACAACCAGCTAAACCGCAATCTTTAGTAAATGTGTCTGGTTTTAGCACTCGATTTTTTTGGCTGTTTTCTCAAAAAAATCCCAAATCGACTGCACACGTTGCCTGTCTACACTGCGACTATCAATACAAGGAAGGGAAGAGTTTCTGGTGAAGCAGAGACTCGGCTTCGTTGTGGTGAGTTCTACGCCGTTCACTCTGACCAGAGGCTTCCCGTCCCTGGGCGTTGCAAATGGTCACTCTTAATTCTCGGATGCAATGGATGACACCCAAAGGGTGGCAACCATTGTCCGGAATTTATGTGATGCGTTAGCCCCGCACCTTAAATCTGTGCGCTTGACTAACAGCATCCAAAAGCCCCGGGAGGTGATGATGCGACTTGAACTGGAACGCCATTCTTCGCCCGAGCACCTTTGTTTTGACCCGCTTGACATGTCTGAACTTTCATTAAGTTCATGGCCCAGCGCTGAGAAAGACATAGAGAAGCGAGGTCTCGTCCGTAGCAGAAACCTGCTTGACTATCTGATTGGGAATGCCTGTCTTATTCGGATCGGGCATGCTTGACCTATCTCATTCGGCCTGCTTGACCTATTTGATTCGGTTTGCTTGACCTATCTTATTCGGCTTGCTTGACCTATCTAAGCCAAGCATGCTTGACCTATCTGATTGGGCATGCTTGTCTTAATCGAATAGGGCATGCTTGACCTATCTGATTCGGCCTGCTTGACCTATTTGATTCGGTTTGCTTGACCTACCTGATTGG